TATTCTCTGAAGTGAATGTAAGGATGACTGACAGATGTTCAGTGGACAAGCTGTGCACAAGGTGTGTTATGTCAAGCATTCCACCAGGGCTACACGACAATAGAGGTGGAAAATTAAATGCAAAATAATGTATTGCTCCATTTTCCCTGTGTTTTGCACATACTTGTTTAGAGCACAGCTCAAAAGGGATTAACATTTTTGTATGGCATTCCTCCTGCTGTACAATATGGGAAAACCACTTGGGAAAACAGCAGAAAAAGCCTCTGGCACTGAGGGCTTTCCAGCACTTCAGGAATGCAAGATCTAGGCTGAGCACTGCTAATCAATGAAGTTGAACTTCAGTGAATGCACAGGATCAAGAAAGTCCAAGAGAAATAATGGGAGTTTGTCTGACCTTGTATTAATACTGGATTCTTTGGGCAAGCCCTAATAATTTCTTTTGACATCAGAAAGGAATGCTCCAACCAGAATTCCTAAAAGGCCTCTTTTCCCATGTCTGCCTCAAAAATGGAAAAATACAAAAGGGGCAGAGAAAAAATCACCCCACCAACTTTTCCTTTCACTGTAAGGAAAAAATAGAGGGACGAGTCCACAGCTCATCCTGCCCAAACATCTCCAGGATCTCCTTGCACAGAGCTGCCAAGACCAAATCACTTCATTCAGGGGCAAGTCAGGGCATCCTAACAACCTATGCAGGGTCAGGGGATTTTAGGCCTGACAAAGAAAATATTTCCACCTTCCCAGTAAAAAGTCTGAGCTTGTCTGTGCAGGAGGGAGGGAGGACAGTGCTGCTCTGCATTCAGCACGCCATGCCCATCTCCCCAGTGCAGGTGGCAGAGGGGGGATGAGCCCTTGGGTGCTGGGTGCCAGCACTGCTGGGCTCCTGCTGGAGGGCAGCAGTGCCCCCACAGCTGCAGGGGGTTCTTTGCTCAGCTCTGGCTCCCCTCCAGCTCGGGATATTCCAGCAGTGGGGTTCAGTCCCACGCTGCTGCCAGTCCCCTTTGAATGAGGGCTCTGGTCCCACGCTGCCTGGCCACAAGGTTGGTTTTGGGGGGCAGCAGCCAGGCAGGGCAGGGCAGCAAAGGCCATTTGTGCTGCCCTCCAGGTCAGCTCTTAATGGAAGCTCAGGGAAGCTGGTAGAGGGATTGAGCTGCTGAGTGCTGGCCGTGCTCCACCACAGAGCCAAAGAGAGCAGTGCCCCTGAACGGAGTGGCATTTCCTAACCCCCTTGACTGACCTGCCTGTGAAACAAAGGAGCAGCATCCCTCCTAAGGACTTGCTGCAATGCCCTTTCTTGCCTGTTGATTTTTGTGTGTGTTTTGGAGCAGCAGTCGGCACCCAGCTCTAAAGAGGCTGCCACATGCAATTACAGAGAGAAGGTCTTGAAGGACACAGAGCTGAAGCAGAGAGATGTTTGAAATAAACTTAAAGGGAACAGCTTTGTTTAGCTCTGTGGCCTTTGGCTTCCCTGTAATTCTTTATGTCGATTATAATAGAAAGATCAAATTTCTCATTTTCTCACCTCTGTATCTAGAGAAATGTAAAATTTCTTTCACTTGATCTCTCTGAGCCCTATTTTCCCAGATTTGCTTACCAATACTTTGTCACTGTCACCTCCTTGATGATGACCTGCTTGTATTCATCCATGCATTCAGAAGAATTGCTCTGGTAAATACAAAGGTCTCAGTTTCCAAATCTGCACATCCCAACAGCACTTAATCCATGGAGCAACCTATTTCTGTCAGTTATTTCCTTCTCTCCAGGCTTGGCTAGCTCTGTTAGATTTCATTAAAAAATTAGCATGGATTTAATTGTGAATTGAGGGCCAGGATATTCCCTGGCCCATTCCATATTTCAAAGATATTCCTATTTTTGAAAACACAAGGAGGTTCAGAATGAGGAACCTCATTCCTCTGTACCAGGGAATATTATCCTTATGGCATTATTGTTCTTACTTTCTCCTTCTTGGTGATGTGTGAGGAGTCCAAGGACACAAGGAGGGCAGATGTGGGAAACACCACAATTCCTGTGTGGAGGATTCTCCTTGCAGGCAGGGTGAGGTACAGAAGACACGAGAAGCAGAAGCACAGAGAGGATCCTCCTGGATCCCCTTCCCAAGGCACAGAGAGGATTCTGCTGCTTTTCCCAGCCAGCCCTGGGAGCTTTCTGCCCATCAAGGTCACTTTGTGCTTATGAAATAGAATGTGGCAGGGGGAACTCAGTGGCAGCAGCCTGTGTCTGTCCACACAGCAGAATAGACACATTCAGGTCCTGTCTCCAGCCTGACACTCATCCAAGACACACAGAAACCCTTTTCCCTCTTCAGTGCTCTCAGTGCTACAGCAGAGGAATGGCTCAGGATATGGGGAGCACCATATGGCCATTGCCACTACCCAGCACCCACCAACACGGGCAGAACAGAAATGCAAAATTCACATTGTGCACTCGAGATTCTTCTACAATCTGCTACCAGGTCTTGGATAAGTCAAATCTTACCTCGCAGCAGTTATCTTTGAGGGGTAACATGCAATAATCCATGTATACTTTTATTTTTAATCTTTAGCTGGTACTTTGGGAGACTGAACAAAGACACAGACGTGTTGAGGATTCTACCAAGGGTGCATCTGTCTCCAGATGAAAGGATCCTGACATCAAACTGACTGCAGCTGGGCTGGAAAAAGTTCTAAATCACTGCGATCAACACAAGTTTTGCACCAAAGTACACATGGCATGATTTCCTCTGGGTGACAGGCAAATCCTGTTATTCTACTTATGAATGGGTCTCATTAAGTAGGAAAAAAAATTGTTGGTGCAACCTGTTCCTTTTTAAATTAAACATATTAAAGTTGATAGATACCCCTAATTCTCTGCTCAGCCTTTTATGTGTTGCAATAACACTGCTCCCATTGTTAGGGAAAGTCTTGACTTTGCATAATCTGCTTTTCATTTCCCTGGCAGCTGCAGATCATTCTTGGTGACTAAATTAAAAACAGTTTCTTTCAAGAATCCACCAGATCTGTCCTCCTTTTTCCTCCCTGTACCTACAAGTTAGGGAGAAAAACAGAAAACAAAACCTTCCCAACAAGCATTAAATCCTATCAAATCAGGCTGGAAGGTCACCTCCTCCATCCTTCTGCCCTGAGGCAAAAATCAACTCTCCTTAAGCCATCCCTGACAGATGCTCACCTAACTCTAAAAAGCATGATTTCACAGCCCATCTTTGGCTTACCTCAACTTCCCTTGCCACAGCCAAAGCTCCTCGGTGCTTGTCCTGTCCCTGCTGAACTTGGGGAGATTTTTTCTCCTTGCAGAGGAAAACTTTCACTTTGAAACAGACCTCAAGATTGGTGCCAAGCTTTCCCAGGCTTTTCACTCCTCTCATTTATTCCAAATATGTCTGTCTGCAGTCTTGAAAGCTCAGCCCTGTTCCAGAGCCCAGCACCTCAGACAAGTCAAACACTCCCCAGTCCATTTCTGCTCCTGCTTTAATTCCTGCCCCACAGGAGTGAGTGGAGTTTTAAGGAATTTAGAGATTGTAGAGGAGCTAAGATTTTAGTTAGAAATAAGCCTTATTAGAGTTAATTAAAATAAGTGAATAGGCCTTGATGAAGTTAAGAGTTAGTAGTTAACTAATAATTGATTGCTTGTCAGCACAATGTTTAGTTAGATGGGTTTATAATGAAGAATACACAAACTGACAAATAGCTTTTAGGAACATAAGACCATTGTGGGCCTCCTCTGTTCTGAAACCAATTGAAGACAAGGAATGGGAGTTCTACCAAGAGTTCATTTGTCATATTTGCATTGAAAAGTTAGAAAGGTCAGAAGGAGGAAGATTTCATTTACTTCCTCATTTTGGGACCCCTCCCCATGAAAGGGAACACTGACCCATTTTGAGGAACAAACCAAACACACTGAATAGCTTTTGAAATGATCAGCATACGAAGTGAGGGGTGGGATGTACCAAAATTATGAATATGTATTTGTATTTTGTGTATTCAATACTTGTACGCATAAAAGGGCTCTGCAATCACTTGGAAGACACGGCGTGGATTTGGGAGCTATCCCACACACAATAAACACACACTTTCTAACTTTAAACTGCTAGAGAGTTTTTGTCTGTCACAGCAGTTCTGTACCAGTCCCAGCAGTTCTGTACCAGTCCCAGCAGTTCTGTGCCCATCCCAGCAGTTCTGCCCCATGCAGGCAGGCACAGCTCTGACAATCAGGACAGCAAGTGCTCCTTAAGGACACCACTGCACAACTTCCAGCTGTTCCACTTTCACTAGCAGAATTTAAAGGTATCTTGTTAAAGATGGAACACAATGTCAACGTTAACAGGTTCCTCCTGTTTTGCCTTCCAAAGTGCCCCGTCCTACAGAGTTTTGTTAATACAGGTTGAAATTTTTAGATTTAAAGGCTAATTAAAAACCACTTAAAGCTTTCACAGAAGGGATTAGCTGGAACTTACCCACTGCTTATGCTGCTGTTTGGTTTGTGTGGGGAAAATACAACTAAAAACACTTTCCCAGGGAGACCAAACCCAAATTTGCATGATTCCACACAGAGAGAAATGAGCCATACAAATAAAACAAACCAGTCCACAGCACCACAGTGAAGCTCTGGTTACAGCCAGTGCACAGTGCCTGTGAAATACCAAACCTTCAAAGATACCAAACCAGAACTTAGGGAAATTTCCATTTTACATCTGAAAAATTAAAATGATACTGTTCCATTCTGTATGTGGCTTAAGAGGAATAAAACTTGTATGTACTGTCATTGGCCTACATACAAGAAAATATATATAAAGCCAAAATGATAAAAACATTTTATAAAGACATTTTTAGATAAAAGGCAAATATGTTGGAGTATAACAGTATCACCCAATTGAAACTAAATTTCAATGCATTTGATTTCACCCACTGTCACAAAATGCTGAATGGAAGAGTACAGGCAAATTAAACATTTTTCTATTTTATAGAAAAGACAAAGTCAATAAACATGTTCATTTTTACATTTATTTGACAAAATGGTATACACAGTATTAATTTTTGCACAGTGGATGGTTTTGAGACCAGAATTAGGGACACAGTGTGTGTGACAACATTGCACAAACAGTTCTTCCACAGAATCTTCACTTTCCAGTATTAAAATATACAAAATAGAGTCTGACTCTTATTTATTGTGGTGAGGTAAACATTTCTTCCTTCAGATCAGTGTGGCTTTTATGCACCTTCAAGAAAGCTGCTAAGGATACCCTTCTCCTTCATTCTGTCAATAGCTACAGACCTAGAGGCATATTTATTGCTGTTCTAATGGTCACACATTTTTATCATGAGCAATATGTAGAGAAAGGAATGGAGAAGAAAAAACCTGCAGGAATTGATGATAGCAACCCATCTGCACTATTTGTGTCAGGAGCCAAAGATTGGTGCAGATTATTCATTTTGAATGTAACAGTTTTAATGGAAATGTCAAGAAAAATTTATTTACATTTTTCTAAGCAGAACATGGTATTGATTAGAGCTGCTCAAAAAAAAAAAAAAAATCACAATTAGGAATTTATTTCACAAATTTTTATATTTCTGCCCATTTACAAGTCCAGATCATAATATCCCCTCATTTGTTCACTGTTCAAATTTATTGATGATTTTCAGCACATAATTCCTGGGCAGAGTGAAATTTGCACAAAGTTCTTTAGTTACACAAGATCTTCACTATTGCCTTCTGTTCCCTGAATGAATGATTTGTGTAACTAACAGCTTGAATTTTGACTGCTAAAAAGAGTATATAATCAAAATTAATCTTGGTCAATATCTGAGTACTGAAACTTAGGGTTTTTTTTCTTATACATACTTTTATTGTTGCCTGAGAAGTCAAATACTTTCAAAATGGAGAAGTTAATTTGTGTTTTATTCCAAATAAATTAGAAATGGTTGTTGGAAGTTAAATCAGCTGAAGAATTCTCCATGCTCCTGAGAGAAAACTGCTTCAGCTTCTCATCTTTAAAACCTCACAGCAGTGACATTCTCACAGAAGAGGATATTTTAAAAAGTTAGCAGCCATTTCCTTAGTGGCAGAAACCTCCTCCTGGAGCCCCCTGGATGGCATTGCTACAGCTGGAAGTACAGAAGGGTGTTTCCAAAAACTAGAAAATAAATGAATCACATTTCAATGGTTTATAGGCATGGCAAGAGTGGGAGTTCCTTTCATTACCAACTACTCAGTCCCTTTTCCTATTGTGAGGTATCCATTGGCATCAGCAAAAGAGAATCATCTTAAGGCAAAACCAGTGACGTCCAAAAAAAAGAAAATAAACATCATTCATTTGAATAAAAATAGGATTGTAAGCACAGCTTTTTACATTATTGAAAAGTCCATAAAAAATATAAACCCACTGTTAGTTTGCTGACTCTTTACAATATAAAAACACAAATGAAAATATTGTGAAATAGGTGACCTAAAAGTGTTTACTAAAAGAACAATTCTCTTGACAGAAGTCAATTTTTGAGACAGAATTTCTCACTGTGAGTTTAACAGTGACAATTTTGAAAGGAGAGACCAAATTACAGTTGTGACTAACAAAATCACCAAAATTAGACAAAGACATACAAACTTTTGAAGATTTTAGCTGCAAAATTTCTGAAGCCCAACTTGCAAACTATGGCCTGGGTTGGTCAGGTATCTCCAGTTAATTCCCCCAAGCCTGATCTCTGCTTAGGAGAACTCCATTCATCCTCTGGAACAACAGCAGGAATGATGCAGAAGTACTTTCCATGAGAATGACATTCAAGGAGTTATTTTTTGGCCACACTTGCCACTGCCTTCTTTGCTGCATCCTCAAGGTCATTGGCAGATGTGATGGGGAGTCCACTTTCACTCAGAATCCGCTGAGCTTCGTGGACATTGGTTCCTAAAAAAACACAAAACACTGACTAGAATTAGTAATTAATACTAATGAATAAAAGAACATCTCCTAGCATGTCTCTGAAAAATCAGGTAATGCCTCAAACTGCACATCATTTCAGTTCAGCAACAGCTGAAATGAGTGCCTGAGACTGAGCTGAGCAAAAGGAGCTCTTAATTCCAGTGACAATTGTGGCAGACAATGCAATCTGATGGTGGCACTTGTGTGGACAACAGGGGCTGGGTGAAGATTCCAGGGTCAGTGCAGCATCCCCTGGTCAGAGCCAGCAGGCACATCCAGCAGGATGGGTAATGGGATCATGTGCCAGGCTCTTTTTAAGGCATTTATTAGCCACAGTCAGCTACAGCTAACCAGCGAGTCAACAAGAACTAAAATTCACCTGTGATAACTGAAGGCTGGCAAATGAGCTGTTGAAAGGCAAAGATTTGGGTAATCCTGAATATTTAACCAGGTTTAAGCTGCTCATGAATATGTTTTTGCATTTTTACTAAAAACAGGGAATACAAAGGTCTCTGAAGTAATTCAGCATGACACCAATTCCTCCTCTGCTGCTGTGCTAAATTATTATAATCACAGAAACATTTATGTTGGAAAAGACTCTTAAGATCTTCAAGTATGACTGGAAACCCAGCACTGCCAAGTCCACCAATAAACCATGTCCCTGAGTGCTATGTCTACCCTACCTCAAGTAGAAAATATGATTACACAGCACAAGGGCTCCAGTTTGTATGGAAAAAGCTCAATTTCAGTCAATAGACTAATGCAAAGGAAAGTAAAAAAATCTGAAGCTGCAAAAGATATTTCAGGAAAATATATTTTCCCCACTTTCCTTGTCTAAAAGGCAAGAGCATCACCTTCCCATTTACTCTTTCTCATTCTTTTTGGAAAACTAACAGAAAATCTGAATTCTCCAGAGCTTTCTGCAGCAAATCCAAGTGACACTTTTTGTCACTGCTATGCTCTGCACCACAGAACCTGGAGTCAGATATCCTGCTGAGGAAGCAGAATCCACACTTTGGGGTCACACACCAGTCACAAGCACAAGAACCCTGAGCTGATCCTCTTTAGAAGCATTTTTATCCTCCTCCTCCTCCTCCATGTCATGTTCCTTGATCATTTGCCATGCCAAAATGCTTAATTACTTTGTAATTCCTAGACCCAGCAAAATGAATTTTAATTATATTTGGAGCTATACACTAATTATACCCTTAATTATTAACCAAGCAAGAAGCATACTCTTTACTGTGCAACTTCCAGAATGCTCATTTTAGAGGATGACTTTTCAATTTTTTTTTTTTTTTTTTTTTAAATCAGACTTCATAAACCATCTGAAATGGTACCACAGAAGCAGAGCATTTCAAAAGCCTGTTTCATCAGCGTGCTCGAGTCAGGATTGCCACTCTTGGAGTTGAAAGGGGACCAAAGGCATCCTTGTCACAGCACTTTGTGATGGGAGAGGCAGGAGCAGGAAGAGGAATGTGGGACCCATCTGCTCCCTCTGCAGAACAGGTCGTGCTTCCCATCCCCGTGCAGGGGACACGCTGCAGGGTTTGTGTGGCAAGGTCAAAGGCATCTGAAATCTTTGACAGAAGGGGGATTTGGTTGCTTAGTAACACCCAGAACTGTACAGAACTTTTTCTACAGAAAAAAAACCAAAAACAAACCAATATTATGGGCAAAAAAAGGAGCATATTTGATTTTTGTGCAAGTATCCTATATAATATAATGTGGAGGCTGCTACTTGTCAGCCCAGCACTGCACAGGGGAGGCAGGAGCCATTCCCAAGGTTCTGTTTTCTTTGGAGTCCCTCACATTTGTACAATGATACCCAACATGCCTTAAAGGTTTTGTCTTTTATTTAGATATAAGTGTGACACACATTTTAAATAGTCAAGAATGTACTAATCTCTCTAATAGGATTCTACAGGACAAAGTGTTATGAGGAGAAAAAAATGGGAAGAGGGAAATTTTCCTGGAAATTTTCCCACACGGAAAAGAATATTGTGGTGTTTGTGATAGCCATGTATTTAAAAGTAACTTTTGCTCTTCACTAAGTGGCCAATATTAATTCACTAACGGGTCAGAGAGGGAACAATGCATTGGATCTGTTCTGCACTGCATTGATTGCTCTCCACACCACTTGTCTAACATGCATTACAAAATCAATACAAAACACAGGTCCCTGAGAAGGGAGGGGGAGTTTATGCAGGGAAATGAAATTATGAAAGCTGAAAAAAAAACCTCACTGCAGTCAAAAGTGTACAAATATATTTTCTATTTCTTATATAAAACACTTTTATAGGCAGGCCATACAAATAAACACACTTTTCAGCAAGCACTTCCTTTGCTGCAATTCTTTTTTTTTTTTTTTTTTTTTTTTTTTTTTTTTTTTTTTTTTTTTTTTTTTTTTTTTGTGATAGCCTTTTATCTCATTGTGATTAAGTATTTTAGCTATGTGGAGAATATGGAAATTATAATGATCCCTGCTAAAAGCAGAGGTAAAAGATTTAAAATTAAACATTCCAAAAGCACTGGAAACATTTAGGAATCTACAAAGAATACCATCTTGTTGCAACAGATGTTAAAATAAACAAATAAAGAATCCCACTATGCCAGCATTAACCTCCTGCCACTGGATGGTGTCAGAGAACTGTAAACAGAATCCCAGGCTATCAGAATAACCTGCCCTTCACCTACCCTGCAGCCAACTGAGAAAAGGTGAAAATTCACAGGGCTGGAGGCTGTGGGGCTTTTGTTGTTGCTAGGTTTTATTGTTTGGGGGTTTTGGTGTGGTTTTTTTTTTGTTTTGTTTTTTGTTTTTTTTAACTGGATTCTATGAAGAGAATGGCTTTCTAATTAGAAGCTTTTGTCTTCTGACATATATTACTGTCAACAACACTCCATAAAAAACCTGGAAAGATGCAATTTTATGGGCATGTACCTTCAGGCTTTGTAATCTAAACATCCTCCTGTGAAAACCTGGCTGCTGGAACAGCCTCTCAGTCTGTGTAAATGCAACCTCACATTTACACTTCTGTGGACTTGAAATCTCTGCTACCAGTAGCAAAGCAAACGTATTTAACTCATTACCGAAAGAATCCTAATAATAAATATTCTGCCTAAGCATGTCTCTACCAGTGGTAAGGCCACACCAGCACACCCTGTGAGAGGCTGAATGAAGATCAAACAAATAAAAACACACCCAGTCACACTCCACATGCAGGATTTGGATGAAGTTCCCTTTTCACCTGGCCTGCCATAAACCCATCAGGAGCAGGATAAATGGTCACTGCTTAATGCTGATGCTTAGAGAGGATGCAGGATTCTGCATTTCATAATGCCATTGCTGACTTTTCAGGTAAATAAGCTATAAGGGGATAAGACACAGTTATATACATTTGCTATGTGCTAACAAAGAGATGAATAATATAAAAATACTCTGATTGACCCAAAACATTTTGCTATGACAAAAAAAAGTCACTAAATGCAGAATGTCAGTTATTATTAGTGACATGAGCAGGTTGTGCCTGTGTTAGAATCCCTGGCAAGGTCCAGCTTTGCCTGCTGCACTGCTGAGTGCACTGAGCCAAATCTGCCCCAGCAGGGATCCAGCAATGCTCTCCTGTCTTCCCACAGCCTGGAAACTCGTGGCCTCTCATGTCCCAGAGACAGCTCTTGGAGAATCAGGTCTGAAGTTCATGCCTAGTTAATCTTCAACATTGGATTTGAGGTTTGGCCGGTGCCAAGCTCTAATTAGTGACCTTTAGGTACAGGTCACTAATTAGAGTTTTGGTGGCTTGCACATCTCACACCTGTTGGCTCTGCAGTCAAGAATAAACCAACTTCTACTACCTACCTGTAAAAGACAATTAAAGTATTCTGCCCACTCCATTTTCCCTTTCCTAACTTAAACTTTCCCCAAAGAATATTTTAATCTCTCCCTCTGCCTCATGTTTACATCCTAACAGGGAAGGGCACATTTGAATTTGTGCTGAATGTTTAAACCCAAGATGTCTGAATAGGCTGATCTGAATGAAGTTGTGTGACTTTGCAACATCCCATTCTTCTCTCTTGACAGGCAATTTGGGATACTAAAAATCAAAAAATCAGGCACACATACTAAACTATACCTGCAAACAAGATACACAAGCTGGAGCAAAATTTCAATTGTGTGTAAAAGATTTCTGAAGATACTAGAATGTTTCAGATCTGAAGAACACACAAGATCACTGATCACATGAATGAAAAATATAAAAAAATTGCATTCAGACATGTGAATAAAAAGCAACTTGTTTCTATCTGAATTTTCACATATTAAGTAGTTATGATTCCTCCCAGTCCTTCTTGCCCTATGACCAGAGAAGGAGAGAATTCATTTTTTGAAAGAGAGAGGATGTAAAATTTCCAGCATAGGAAGCAGATATCTAACTCACAATTCTGTTTTATTCTTCCCTCTTTTCATCTAACTATGAGCTACATAAATGAGAAGTGAAGCTTGGCTTCCCTTCAGCACTCCTAGTCAGTTTTCACAAAACTTAAGTGAAGTGTATTATATTTTAAAAGGGAAAAAATCCTGCATAAACCCAGCAGCAGTTACTTTTCTATCTGTAGAAGATGAAATCTGGAATATGTGGTTTCTCCATTTGTCCATGAGCTTTTTAAACAATAATCCTGTGTCTCAGCTGGTGAGTTCTTTACTGATAAGGCAAGCAAACATATGTAATTATAAAGTTACCATTTTCAAAGAGCAGAGTAATCCTTTCTTTATCCACTGGTAAAACGGCTTGTAGTTATTATACAACTGAGAACAAAGATTTGTCCACAGAATCCTACTAAATCAAGACAGATTTGACTGATTAAAACTCTAGTCATCAAGACACTTGTAGCACAGTGCATGTGGGCAAAGAGTCTTTTAAGTGCAGGTCACAAATCTGTTAGATTTATGGGAATAATCACAAACCTTATGCTGGGAAAATGTTAAAAATGGAAACCCAAAAGAGTGCTTGCTCCTTTTCCTCCTTTTGAACTGTAAAATGTAATCAGTGATGTTTTAAAAAGTCTTGGGTAGTCTTATTACTTCCACAGTATTCATAATTAATTCAAAATCCTTATAAGTTTAAATAACCTGGTGTGAGTTCAAAGAACAATGAAGATGATTAAGGATCCAGAGGGACTGATTTCTGAGGAAAGATTAAAAGGACCAAACACACATGTATTGCTTGGTTAGGTGATTAAGGAGGCAGAGAAAACAGCAGTGACTTGCTAACAGTTCCAAAATACAACATCTGAAGGTTATAAACATCATAGCTCTTTGTTTAGGATGAACATGATGAATGAGAGGAGGAATTAAAAAAACTTTTGAGGTAAAGATAAAAGTGGGAGTTGGCTGTATTATACTGGGAGAGAGCTTCCTAAGAAAATGTGGTGCTGCCATTTCCAGAGTCAGCAAGCAGTCTAGGAGAAACATTATCACAGCTGTAATAAAGAGGGAGCAGTGCTGGGAAGATGGTAACCCAAAGATGTTTGCATCTCAGCCTGTATTTGACACTCTGAAAATTCAGCTTTGATCCCTGTGGGTGGAGCAGTAAATGACTCAAAGGCCACAGGCACAAGAGGAACTGGCACCTCTGCAGGGCTTTCACTCTTACTTCTGTACAGTCATGGAATTACCAAAATTACAGGACAAAGGCCAAGCAAACACAGTGGCAGACCCAGCAGACTGCAGTTTAAAATGACCAAGTTGCTCTTCTCGTTTCTTTTATAACAGTTTCAAATATCACAACAGAAACATCTTGCTCATAGGAAAAACTAATGGTTTTTGCAATATCTTCATTTAAAAAGCAGCACTTAAAACAGTTGAGAAGTCTCACAGATCTGACAGATAAACTTTTTCCCAGCTGTGAAAGACAGGAAAAGTTTTTTTGCTATGACAAAAAGTGAAACAACATTGCCTAGAGCTGATAAACAATGAGATTTTATATAATGAAACTTTCCTGCTTCTAAGCAACATCCATCAGTCTCTCCTTCATCCATATTAAACTTTTTACTCAGTCTCTTAAGGTGTTGACTGGTGCTGCGCCATGCAAAGAAAATTTTCACCATTTATTTCTAAAATCCATCTTAGGGTATTTAAACTTCCCTGCACTCACCACAGCAGAATCCCTGCCAGCACGTGCAGTGCAGCATGAGGATGAGGGAGGGGAAGGCTCTGCTTTCTCCTGAAACTCAAAAGGAGCATCCCTCTGCCCAAAGGGCTCCGTGGGCACTCTGCACCCTCAGGAATCCTGGTGAGGGTAATTTTTGAGAAGTAAAAAGCCTGATGTACTCAGAACATGCTTTCCTCTCCCTTCTAGCACAGTGTGAAAACCACCTCAGTATTGCATCTCAGGTCCATAAGGGGATGCATTTCCTCCTTTCATCACCAATGCAGAGTGACAGGACATTTTATGCTCTTTACACACACACAAACATGAATATGGAGGGTTTGGAGTACGAGCCCTTAAAACTCACCCAAAAATCCCTTTGTTTTCCAAACCTACTTGGCCAGGAAGAAATATTTTCAGCTTACCAGGGTTGTGTGCTGATTGCAATCAAGGCACTTCTCACTCAGTGGCAGAAGGTTCTCCCTCCTCCAGGCACTTCTCAGAAATTACAGACAGAACTCCACACTCACTGCTATTAAAGTCTGTAACTACCAAAGAGTGCTTGTCCTCCCCTCTCTATGGCTTTTTTGTTTCTTGTGAAACAATGCTGGATGCACTAAAGAAAAAAATAATCCTTACCATTACCAAATCTTCTGGTTTTTATTGGATTTTAGCTGAACTGAGGAACATGTTACAGTACTTTCTGTCTCAAAAATACTGTTTCTAACATCTTTTAATTGACACAGGTGTAAATTTAAAACAACTATATTTTGCTGCAGGTTTAGCAATAATGGAATTGCTTTCAGTAAAAAAAAATGAAAAAGAAGTACCTTCCAGTAAACACAAACTTGCATCAAAATATTTCCTATTTGCATTGCAAATCTTACAAGCAAACTCATAATGCTTCCATTGCAAACTTTCATTGCTTCCAGTATCATCAGAGTCCATAAATGCAGAAATATGAGATTATTGGCTTCAGGTTGTGCTATGGCTGAAGAATTGGACATGTTCTTATTGTGCAATATGTTCAGGAGAAGAAGAAATTCTGAGTGAATTACTGAGAACCTGGGGGATGATTTTGTCTGAATCCAGCAGAACTCACCTTCCAGTCTGACCACCAGAGGTACTTTCAGCTCGAGCTCTTGGCAGGCTTTGGTGATACCATTGGCTATGATGGCACAGTTCACAATCCCACCAAATATGTTTACAAGGATTGCTTCAACCTGTAGGAAAGAAACCAAGGAGGAATTGAGTGGGGGAATGGTTATGTTTTGACTTTGTTTTTAAAATAAAGATCCAAACCAGGATACCAATTCCTCTCTGTCAGGCAGATTCTGATTTATGGAAGGTACAAGCTTCACCTCTGCACTCACAGAACTTGAGCCTCAGTCTATTGCTGCTCCAGTGCACAGCAGTGATTAATTGTCTTGGTCTAAACTGGCATAGTAATTAATGTCATAATTAAAGTATTTCCAAAAAAAAAAAAAAAGGGGGGGGGAATTTCTACCTATAAAAATACCTTATACAACCTATAGTTTGATTGTTTTAAAAGTGTATTGAGTAATCATCAGAGGTTGGAGCTCAGAAAACACAGGGCATGAATGGGTGATGTACATGCAATGAAATATTCATGTGGACACTTCACAAAACAATCTGGATCTTCACTTTATCACAAACACGACAGAGGAAAAGGTAATAAACTTGCCCTGACTTGATAAAGAGGAGTAAAAATCCCTTCTAATTAACAAGGAGAGGCATGTAATGAAGAGCATTCATTACAACAGGTTAACTGATAACCTCAAAAAACTGCAATTCATCAGTTTCTGGAAAGTGCAATTTCTCCACCCGATTCACAATTAAATTTCCCTTCACAACATCAAGACATCAATACATAAAATACATTAATATGGTTTCTTTCCACTTGGTAAGGCAGCAGAATATCAACCCAAGCCCATACTGCAGTCTCCCAACCATGCTGGGGACACCATAGGGGTGCAACCCTGCTGCTCCTCATCCCACCCTGGGGAATTCCACCCCACAACATTTGGGGTGCTCTACAAGAAGCTTCACTGGGTGTCACAAACGAGCTTTTCCAGAATTGTGTTGACTCAGAACCCGAGAGGCTAAAGAAGGGATTAGGTGTGAAGGAATGAAATATCACTGCATTGCACTGGTGCAGGATGTCAGCTGCAATTATGCTCAACTCACTGCACCCCAGGAAGGGATTCACTGCCCTGCTCCAGGTAGCCAGGCTCATACCAGCACCAGGAAAACTCCCTGAGGCCACCCACGTTTATAGCTCTGCACAATCAGGTTTTACATCTCTCCACTGACAGAATGTGACAATTCACTCCTGTGATGTGCACTCACACAGCTCAGCACTGGCAGTAACACTGCCACCCACAGTGCAAAAGGAAAACAAAACACCTCAACAAACGCTTTACTTCCCATAAGACAGGGACACCTTTCACCAGACCAGGTTGCTCAAAAGATGATCCAGTGCATTTTGAGTTCATGGAGCCTCTGTGTGGCTCATGGCATGGCTTCCTCATCCCAGGCAGAGCACAGGCACCAGAAGGAAATTTATAACCCAGTCAAACAAGAACACACAATTTAGTTGATTTTATAACTCTTCCTTATATTCACATTAAATGCATGCATTTAGCAGTTAAGGGTTTTCTGGATTTTCAGTTGGTGATGCCATTGCAGTTTTTTATTTCACCTTTGTGTTACAAAATCCTTAACTCTGTAGAAGCTACCAAGACTAAAACCATAGAAGACCCCTTCTCTGCCTTGTACCATTGCTTGTGCACACACAAACATTCCTGGTGTTAGGAGATAAAACCTAAGAGGGAAAACAGAGCCCTTTCCACTCTTATCCCATTAACCCTTGTGGCAGAGACCTCTCGATGCCAAACACTTTGGTGTTAAAACATCCTGGTGATGGATTCTAGCAGTGGCACACACCACAAAAAGCTCTCCACCCTTTCTAGTACATCCTCCTAATTCAGGGACATTGCAGCAGACATGTGACAGATCAACTTAACCAAGTGTGTTTACATTATTAGAGATAAGGAGGAGGATTTTATGCCCGCTACAGATATTTTAATTCCTAGCACAGACTTTTTCATTTAGGGATCTGCTTTTCAGCTTTCAAGCTGAATTCTAATCATGTCTTCTAATCCATTGGCAGCAAAAGGGAAAAAAAAAAAAAGAAGGAGGAAATTAGATGCAGCTTGGATAATTGATGTTTGTGTGCTTGGCTTTAATAAAAATACACTGTTAAATTAGAGAGGAGTCTAAAAGGATTCAATCAATAAGAAACTGAATCAGGTAGGGAATTCGATCTTGGGTTTTATTGTAATCTTCCAAATAAGCCAGAAGATCAGTTCAAATGATGCTGAGATTCACTTCAACTCTGCTGAAATCTGTGAACATTGTTTATACATGCTTCTGTAGCCTGATAGATCCTGCATTTCCAGCTGAAAGAACTTTAGCATTCAGACACGGTGGATGGACGAAGAGGTTTTCAGTGTTTCATGTGCACAGAGAATGCACTGTCTCTGTATTACTTAAATCTGTGAGAAAAATAAACCTCCTGTAGCATATCAGAGCCATTATATATCCACATGCTCAGCATCTAATGCCTGTGGACTATCAGACATATCAAGGAGAGGGCAAACTGCCTGCATACAAGACAGGTCACTAAACAGCATTATTATTCTAATAACCATTTTTATCTACCAGAATGCCTTATAAATTTTTTTTTTGCATTTCAGCAACATTGCTAAGGAAACAAAAGATAGTAGCATATCCATGGGTCAAGCCTTTTTAATGCAGCAAAACAACTGACAGATGTGAAATCCCCAAAAAAATGTACTTACAACTGATTATGGATTCCTCTGGAGAAATAAGGGAATCCACAATGGCACGGAAATATCACCACCAGTGTTGGTAAAACCCCACAGTCTCCCAGGCCTCAGCACCAATGCTGGGAAGCCAAAGGAATGGAAACTGTCTTCATGTTAGATTTGGTGTTAAATCTTTGCAAATATTGGAATAGGCAGTAATCCCACAGCTCCTAAGTGCTGTATGAACAGCTATGCAGACTCAGAGAGTATTTTCTCTATATATGAAAATACATATATTTATAGATAGCTATATCTACGTAAAATCCATGTCACTTTATTACTAAAACTAATAGTTTTAATTTTCAGCCACTTTTTGGTAGAGTCAGCCTTGACAAAGCCTGCAATTCTGCTTTGAAGGTTTGGCACCAACAAAAGCCCTACACAGCAAATAAATATAATTGTGTACTAACCAAAGTAATGGTGTTAGGAGATAACAGCTAGAATTGTATTGGATCACCAACACCATCCACAAGGCTACCAGGTTCCACAAAACTAAGAGCATTTGAGGTAGGGCAGAAGCAGCTTCAGCATAGCTGGCTGCTTTCTAAAATCAGATGGAGTGTGTGTGCATTTACTTTATTCTCTTCGCATTATGATTTTCTCTAAAAATGCTCCCAGCCTTAACATAATGCAGGCTGAGATGTGATCATCACACACTTAGTGGAGGCAGCACCATAAAGGATTCCACCTTTCCACAGCCCATCTATAAATCCATACTGGGGACCTCTGGCTGTGTGCTGACCTTCTGAGCCTCACCAACCACTCCAGCCCTGCATGCAAGAACAGAGAGGACAAAAGCTTCACACTTGGCTGTTGTTCCTATTTCCCACTCCTGCTGTCACCACAGAACAACTACACCAGGTGTAGGATTACAGAGTGCTGCAGCACCAACAGGTCCTTCCTACAAGGCAAACTGAGTCTCACATAACGCAGACATCCAGTCACGGATGCAGTTTGACTTCAATGAGGTTTCATCAGCACGGGGAGATGACCCAAATATAGGCAGCCCCATAAAGAAGCTGTCCTGCTTTCCCTCTCCCACCCAGCTCATAAACATCCTGTGCCTAATTTCTGCTCGTGTATTTGAGAACCTTTCTCACAATCCTCCCCAATTATCTCATCTGATGACATCAAAGACCTGCAGTTTCCAGGTATTCACAGTGTCCAATACATGCACTGAGACGTTGTACACATCTCTTCACACAGATGCATGAACATTCAGAGAGTGAACTACAAATATTATAAAATATTATATTTATCAATATAATCTCTGACCTTGCTGGAAATTGTGACTTTGAAGTTCAATCCATGTATTTTAGATGAAAACAAGCTATTCAGGAACTGTCAGTAAAATTACATCTGCAGCACATTAAAAACTGCACTAGCAAAGAACGTGCTCATGGTTTGTCTGTTGAAGTCCGTCAAAAACCACCTTTAATTTCAAACAAACTCAATTAATTTATTGACCCCCCCCTAACTCTTTCATCAGCTGGAAGTGTACTCAGTATGAAGCAGATTGTATTAGTCAAGTTTCCTTCTCCAGGATGCCACAGGACACATCTTGTGGGACACAGCAGGCTTGCATGGTACAGCTGGCAAACATAGTCCTGCTTTGGAGGCTCCCAGCATTTTCTGAGGTTAAAACATGCATCATGTCTCCCAGTCCTTCTGGTCAGCAGAGTCATGTTTTGTGTCTACAAAAGCACATTCTTTTACCATATGAAGTCATGAAATTGCCAGGAAATGAGTAAGAAAAGCAAGCTGGCAGCTCACTGCCAGGCATCTGTTCCTTCCCTCACCCCTCCAACAGAACGAACAGCAGTGGAAGGATGATAGATCACTCAAACATGGCCCAGGCTGGGGGATGCTCACATTGCTGGATGCTGGGACATGAGCAATGAAGATCCAGATGTATTCCCAGCCCAGGGAGGGAGAGTAAAGGTGCTGTCACCTACAGCTGCACCCAGACACCCAAACATCCAGAAACCTGACAATCACCATCACATAAAACTTTTCTGTTCAATCCATTCTGATTTTCAGAGATGTTTTACACCTCAAATCCCAGGGAATCCCAGTTAAAAGAAGGGTATTCCCTTTTAAGATGTAAATAGCAATATTAAGAAAAAAAAAACAAACCACTGGGTAAAATGGGATACATAGTTCTTCACTCTGAGTCTAATGTAGTGCATTTAATCCTTTCTACTAGTCCACTGGCATTTAATATTCATTCATTCATTGTTTACCAAATTTGTTTCAATGTGAAAGAAGCAGATTATATCAAATTCTCAATACAAAGTAATAAAATGCCCACA